TCCAGTAAGTGTACAAAGAAGCTATGAATTCTGACTGTTGTCTATGTCTCTTGTTGAGTTAAAGTAAAGTTTTTTTTTTTCTTTTTTATTTAGTTGGGATTAAAGGATCCTATTTAAACGAGCCATTTTTTTTTTTTTATGAGTTTACTAATACTCTAGATACTTGTCTAAAGGATGATACAATGAGGAACTAAAGGGCACAATTGATGAATTTATTTTGGGTTCTGGAAGTTGATCTGAGAGGTTTAATTTGATGAAATTTTGCCTTAGAGATTGAGATATATCTCATAACCCTGTAATCCATGAATTTGTTTCAGTCCATAGGCTCAACATATTGGGTGAGTTGGGTGGAACTCCAGATTTCATGAAGTACCCCCCAAAGGAGCAATTAGTTGAAAAGGCAAGTGTTTTTTATTTTTATTTTTTTTCTTCTCTCCGTTCATTGTAGCTTCCTTTACAATTGATGGAATTAAACTTCACAAGATTCTTTTTAATGAAATGTCAAGATTCTTCATAGGCTTTTTGTCATGTATAATGCATCAAAGTTTTTCAAGAGTCATAGTGCTTATAAACAGAAGGGGCAGGCCTTTTCTAAGAATGATATTTACATAACTTGTCGACATGCATTAGTCCTTGATATGCTCATCTAGGACCCCTTCAGGTTTTATTTGGTGGTAGGCTCTTTATATATATATATATATATATATATAAAATTAAAAGAAGTAGCCGTAGTCTATAGATTTACAAAATTCTGTATTCTTTTGTTGCTTCTAGCCTTCTACCTTTGAATGATTGTTCTCATAAATTTTCTGAATATATGTTATGATGCAGTATTTCCATCCAGATAACCTGTCCTCAGCTGAAAAAATGAAAATTGAGCTCACTAAAGTTAGAGATGAATTTAAGATGTCAGAGTCAGATTGTGGATCTGCACGTGTTCAAGGTGTGTTGATTTGACATAAGAGCATCTAGCATTGTCCTACTTATGTTTGATCAAAGATGTTATAGCGTTCTCTTGTCAACTGCATGCTTACAGTAATTTATTTCCCAATCTTTTGTCTGAATTTTTAGTTGATCAGTGTAGAACCTTATTGTAGTAGGGCAAAGAAGGTTTAGAACTGTTTTCTTTATCTAATTCTTTATCTTTTATATGAGTAGAGAAGATTTTGTTTTCTGTTTCTTAACATGTTAGTTAATACTTTAATGTTGGATAAGAGGGGAATGGGTTTAGAAGAGATGTGAAATGAAAAAAGCTCTTGACTTGTGGGAGATCCCATTACTTCAATTTTGTTTTGTTCTGTGAACTTGAGAAGGCTACCAAGTTTACCTATGGGGTTCTGGTCAGGAGAACAATGAGATGGGTGAAAGTTAATAAAATCTAGCTCTGTACTTTTGACTTCTCAGAGATCCCATTAAACCAACAGTGGTGGAGGTGCCATGGCATATTGTAAAATGTCAAGTTCAGTTTGCAGTTGCCAACCAAAGATAAATAATTTTGGTTTGACCTATTTCTTAGCCTAATGGTTCTCTTAACTGGTTTGCTGTTTTTCTTTTTTTCTCCTGAACTGATGATTGCTTCAGAAGTCTGATACTGGTTCTCAGCTACATCTTTGGTTTCCAGCTATACTTGTTTCAAACCATATCTTTGATTTTTACCAATCAAAGTTTTTATTTGACTGCATGATATGGCTTTATTACAAGTTAAGCTTTTGATTGCTATGGAACTTGTTGCATAAATTCCATTCTTGAGTATTGGTAGCATTTTTCAGTCAAGGTTCATTGATGTCCCTTCTCTGATTGCTATGCAGTGGCACAGCTTACAACAAAGATCAAGCATCTAGCCTCAGTTCTGCACAAGAAGGTGACACTTAGCAAAGATTTTCTTCTATCTTAAACTGCTTTCTACCTCAATAATTTTTCTGCATTCAGTGCCTTTAGCATAATTTTTGTGCATTATAGTAGATCATGAGATAGTTTTGTGGCATAATGATGGTTATTGTGTTTGAGCATGTCTGTGCTTGTATATTTTTCACTGTAGCATACTGGTCCTGCTGTGTGGCCAGATGAGCAATGTATTTTCTTTGACATGAACGGCTGTGATCTTTTTCTCAGAAAGGATACCTATACTCTGCTCTTTTCATGAGTAATTTCTCCTATAGCCATTATACATTTCTTACTAGTGTCCTATCATCTTTTATCAATTGTATGCATGCTATTTGATGTTTGGATGAGGGGTGATGATTATGACTTTTTTCTTTTGGTGCATTTGGGAGGCAATGTTGGAGGAGGATTTGACCCCTTAGACTTCTTAAGGATGAGAGTATGGGATGATGATGATGATAATTTTGCATGCTAGTGTTTGGAGACTATAGAGGAGTGTCTGGTAATGACATGATGTCTGAGACCACTACCTAGGATGGTGTCCCTAGTTGCAGTAGGATCATCCTACTGTAGTTTCTTTCACATTAGTAACTGTAAATTGATCAGGATTAATGTTGAACTCTGTCAGTGAATGTCTCTCTATGATTCAACATATTGAGAGTTAAAGAGTGCAACTTAAGGCTATTATTAATCAGTTGGAGTGAGTGTATAAACCTGCCTTTGGTGAATATTTGATATAAAGAGCAGGTGCTTGGGTTTGGAGGGAAAATGGAAGAAATTTTGATGCAGGACAGTGTTAGGAAATTAGACAATGGATTAGGGTGGCTTTTAACAGGGGATAAGTGAAATTAGTGAAATTCAGATCCAGTTTCTTGATCTATTGTCTATACTACCAAACATATGTTGGAACTAGGAACAGATAATTAGCCTCACTAAAATGTTTGCAGGGATCACGCAGTGGGAAAATTCATTTATTTGGTTCAGAACAACAAAGTAACTGCAACATTCTGATCTTATTTCTTTTCTTCTAACAGAAACCGATATAAAATTTTGTATGGGTTTTCCTAGATTATGACTTGCTAAGTGCTAACAGTGGATGCTATCTAACAAAACAAAATCTGAGGACAATGTGTAATGTAAATAAATCAAAATTTTTTATCGATCTGTCCCCTTTCGTAGAACTGTTTATGGACTCTAGACTCTGAAGCATCTATTGATTTACTTGTGATTAATTGGTTTTTAAGTGCATATGGAATTATAGTATTAAAATTTTTACATTATGCTAATTGCAGTTTTCCACTTCATGTAATAGGTTAGATGCATTTTTTATTTCTTCCTTGCCCACCTGTTCCTTTTATGTGCATGCTTGCATGTGTAGAAGTGTCTATGTTTTGTTACATTAATACCATGATGTGGAAAATGTCTTCTGATCACAGAGGTTGTTAAAATTATGGTTAAAAGTGGCAAAGGACATAAATTTTCAAGGTGGTTTGGTGGATGATGTGAGGTTTGGTGGATGATGTGATTGTTTCAGCAAATTTATTGGTTTGTGATTTAAGACCTTGTGGTTCGGATAATGTGACAATGAGGTTGCCATTATGTGTTTCCTTTTCTTTGTTAAATGGCTTTTGGCAACTTCTGCTTCCAGAGATGTTTTCTTGTTAACTTCCTGTGGTTGAAAACCAAATGGATGCCATAAATTCTGCGTTTTGTTCACTCTGTAGTTTCTCATGGACCATGTAGGATAAGCATTCTAGGAAGGGTCTGCAAGCAATGGTGCAGAAGCGGAAGAAGTTATTGAAGTATCTCCGAAGAACAGACTGGGATTCCTATTGCTTTGTTCTCGGAAGGCTTGGTCTGCGAGATAACCCAGATTACAAGCACTAGACTACAAATGAGCATGATAGAGGTCAAAATTCTTCTCAGAGCCTGACTACACAACAATGTAACATCTCATTTTACTTTCTTGAACTTGAATGTGCCCTTCGATGCAGAATTTTTGACTTTTATTTCGTAGAAAGTGAAATTGTAACATCTCATTTTCCTTTTAAAGGATGGCCACGTGCATGTCCCTTGTAGGAAATGATTTTGCGGCTGCTTGTGTTTAAATTAGCAGCTAAAGAACCCTAGATTGCTCAAAGAAATGTTTTTTTGTATTTATTTTACTCTTCACCAATAAAGCAACATTTCATCCTCTATTTCCCCAATGTGTTTAATTGTTTGGAAGAATTTCTAATATTTCAATAGCAAATGAAGTTTTGGTTTCCATCTCTGGAATGAGAAATGTCTAGCGCAAAGTAGAAAAGATCTCGAGCTGCAAGATTGATTAAACATTGAAAGGGGACTGGACTGGCAGGGGGACAGGACAAACAGGTCAAAGGACAGTCAATAATCTAAAGCAAGAGGTAATTGAAAAAAGTGCTTCAAATTTCAAGATTCACATCTCCATAACAACACATTAAAAGAGAAATGCTAGTGACATTTTCTTTAGTCCTCTATGTCAAAACAATAACAACTAAATCTTCAGCTTTATCAATAATCTAACTACCAGTGCATGGGGTAAAATCTTGTTTAAGAGATGTGAGGGGCCATCATATGGTAATGTACTTGATCTGTGAAGAAAGAAAAAATGACCCATGCAAATCCAACCATACTATATTCCAAAATGAATAAATAATAAACATGTAAACAAATTTGTAAAAGGAAAAGAAAAATAAAGAGCTAGCATCCAAGACACAGTATTTGAAGTAAAAATCTCCTTTTCGGAAACTAAATCACAGAAAGCCATCAATCCATTAACTTTGTAAAAATTGCAAGAGAGGCAGCTATATATATTACATAAAATAAGATATGTCCAAATGTGATGGAACAATAATCACCCTATAACTTTGCTAATGATGTTGTACAGAAAATAAGTAAATGCATTCTTCCGGGTCTTTCAACAACCTAATTCTCACAAACTAAACATCCATGGCGCAAGAGAAAGTCCTTTTCTTTCATACCAGGAAGATAACATGGCGGCACAATTATTTTCCTCAGTGATGGCCTTGAGCACACCATCCAAGCTACATTGTTTATACGAACATTATCACACCATCTCAAATTTATCTCCTTCAATGCTCTGCAGTTTAAGATTACTTCCTTTACTCCTTTTGCTGTCACGTTGAAGCAACCTTTTAAGTCCAACTTTGATAAACGAGGACACCTCTTTCCAATGAATGCCAATGCCTCATCATCAATTATCAGCTTCTGTGCTTTCAGAACCTCTAGCCTTGGAACTTCAAAATCTATCTGAAGATTCTTAACTTCCCGACATACGTTAATCTCCAAAGACCTAATCTGCTGACAACCTTTTAAAATTTCTATAATGCCTTCCTCTGTAAGGTTAAAGCAGCAAGCAAGATCAAGAACTTCTAGATTGGGGCAAACGTAGGCAACCTTTTTGATGCATTCATCATTCAAACTGTTATTCCCAGACAAGAATAGAGACTTGACATGAGCGTGTACCACAACTTCAGTGGAGAATTCTTCAACACCGAGATTTGTTCTCTCCATGTTGATGGTATTTAGCAAAGGACAGTTGGTTGTAAGGTTGAAGAAGGTTGCATTTGTAAGCTTAGAGCATAAACCAAGATTAATGAAGGTCAAATTACCAAGAAACTTGGTTAATTCAGCCATGTGCTCATCGGTGAGGAAATTTGCCCCTTGAAGATCTAAGTAAACAAGAGACTGGTGCTTGGACAAGAGAAAAGAAATCCCAACAAATGAGAGACAATAGCAATGAGACAGAACAAGCTTCTTCAGTGGAAGACATGCTTCACCAATTGAACATAGGAATTCATCAGATAAAAAGGAATGAGAAAGATCAAGCTCACATAAAGCTCTCACGTAGAAAAATGAATCCTTGAAAAATGAATCTATGGAAGGAACCCCAATTCCATTGGCTGAAATACACTTCAAATTGGCACTATTCCGCATTGCCAAGCCAATCCCTCTCTGGGTTATGAAATCACAATGGCGAATCTCAATTTCAGTCAGCAACACACAATTTGAAGACAAAGCAACAAGAGCATTATCAGTAAGGAAGGGATTACCAGAGAGGTTAATCTTGCACAATCTCTTGAGGGTTGAAGATATATAAATGACCCCATGGTCACCCACAACGCCGGAATATGTCGGTGTGTCGGAAGAATCATTCAGCGAAACCCCACAATAGTAATCAGGATAACTGATATCAAGCACCTCAAGAAATGGAAACGAATTCCCAATCTCAATCAAGTCCGCATCTTGCAAATTGAAGACATTGAAGCAAATCAATTCCTTGAGATTCCTGGCCTTGGACCCCAGACTTCGCAAACCCAGTAGCGGAAAGCTCTTCTGGTTTGAAAGACAGAGGGATTCGAGATCTAACCCAGACAAGGAAATCTGGTGAAGAATGGGACTGAGATCGCCAAGAAATTGCTGGAAACGGAATTTTTTGAGGTTTGGGAATCGGCGGAGGAGCTGAGGAAGGAATGGAAGTGCCGGTTCAGTGATGGTGAGGGTGTAGCGGAGGTGGTTAGTGATGGAGAGGAATCCATGGGAGACGAGGGAGAGGGGTTCCAAGTAGGAGTGGTGATCGAAGGAATTGAAAACCAATTCCCAGCATTCTTCTGGCAATTCCCTGGGTTGGTCCGCCATCTGATTGCGAGGGAGGAAAGAGGGGAATTTGCTACTATTTTGGAGCTTCAAGATGGAAACTTGCAATGGACAAATTCTACTATTTATGAAATGGATTTTGTTTCTATGTACTTTCCCTTGTCATACTTTGAATTTCAAATTAAACACAAAAAAAGCAACATCAAAAAATTTTTTTTTTTGTCAAAACATCAAAATAATTTGAATTTCAAAATAAGTTTCAAATAAGGGACCCTTGGGGAAGGAAGCTCTTGATTTATTAAGTTATCTTATAGATTTGAAACTCTTATAAATTTAGAAGTTTATTAGAGAAAAGTTTAAAATTAAATTTTAAAGTAGTTTTTAAATAAGTTTTTAAAAAAATTTAATTGTTTAATTTTTTTTTAAATTTATTTAAAATTTACTTTAGTAAGTTAATTTAAGAAATTTTCTCTAACACTCTCGGATGAGAAAGCTACCCCATGAATACATTAAGGAGGAGAAAATTATCATGTAACCCACATGTAACCTCTCACGTAAAATGGTTATGTAGTAAAGATAACTTTGAGTCTTAGTTAATTAAGATAGAAGTTAATGGATAAACTTTATACAAATGACTTGTTTAAGTTCATCCAAAAAAAAAAAAAAAAAAAACAAATTGACACCAAAACTTTATAATTTAATAACTATATGTCTTTCATATGATATATTCTCAACTTCAAGATTAAAGTTTGAATTTTCTTTTTCCAAATTATAATCTATTCAAAAAAAAAATGAAAAGGCTTATTATTTGAGGGATCAAAATATCAAACTTATCAAGCTTGAAGTTATTCCCTTTCCCAAAGTTAAAAACACATCAGCTCTTTGCTACTATTCCAAAGAAACTTTGATCAAGGCACCTTATAAGTCCCTAAACTTTTTTCTAGAGGTAATGTGCTTTAATGTTTGATCATTGAAGATAAATAGAGGAGCGTGAGGGAACGAGGAGAGACTTTGGTGAGCCAAGTGTTGGGTCTCCTTATTCTTTGTGATATATTAGCCCAATAAATGCACAATTTTTTTTTTTTGGATACATATAAATGCACGATGTTAACATAATATTCAAATGCCACTAGGCAAGGAATTGACACCCATGTATTCACTGTTTTAATTAATCATTGAATGCAATCTTATAATTAATTAGTATCAAGATTGTGAAGAACTTCGATGTGAGATAATACTGAGACAAGTTGATCATCCTCCCAAAATGAAAACTTATTCCACTTACTTCGATCTTCCTCGTCTAAAATATACATCCATAGCATATGATACATTCAACAAAAATCAACGACTCAATGGAAAAAGATACAATTCACAGCACGATAAAACCGTAAACAAACTTATTAACAAACGTACAAATTTCATGCATTGCAACTACTTTCTCATTATTGTTATGATTATAGTTCAGTACATTTGGAGATCGGTAGAGGATGATCAGTTCTTAACAAGGAGGCGAAACGGATGGTGGTGGAAGCTGAAATGGCTGTGAGTGTGGCCGCAGGGGCTCTATGGAGCCAGTATCGGTGCCGGTGGAGCGGACCAAATTGGTAGCGGCTGCTGCGGATTTTGGGGGATGTTGGGAATCACTGGTGGTGGCAGAGAAATACCCGGTAAGGTTGGGTTCGAATCAACCGGCGGTGTAAATATGATCGGTTGTTCTGGTGGTAGTAATGGCCATGGAAATTGTGGAAAATTCGGGGGTGAAGAAAATATGGGGACTAGAGGTGTCGGTGTAGACCATTCAGGGGGAAAGTCTGGTTGTGGCGGTGGAAGATATATGGGGCCAATTAGTGGCGCTGGGTTAAAACCCACCGGTGGCAAGTCTGGTTCTGTTGGGGGAGAAAACATAGGAACCAGTGGAGGTGCTGGTGTGAAATCAGGTGGTGCAAGGAAAAAGTCCGGCGGTGGGGTATTGGCTATTGCATCCGGGGGTGATAGCCATGGGAAAAAAGGTGGTGAAGTGACGTCAGGTGGAGGTGGTGAAGCGACTAGAGGTGGTAGTGGTGGAGGTGGAGATGGAAGTGGGGGTGGTGGTGACGGTGGTGGAGGAGAGCTGTCCGGTGGAGGGGGTGAAGGAAGAGGTGGGGAAGGGGCAAGGGGTGGTGGAGAAGGAGGAGATTGCACAACCGGAGGTGTAGAGAGTGGGGATGGTCTTGGAGCAGGCTGAAATGGGTTCTCTGGGGAGGGAGAAGTTTCGAAAGGCCATTGGCCACAGGCTTCAAACAGGTATTGGAACAATGGATCACAGTCAGCTGATGTTCTCGATCCTCTTCCCCTGCTTCTCCCCCTTCTACTTCTACTCCTCTGTTGCCTGTTCTCCTCCTCTACTCTGTGTTTGGTATGTGTCTTGGCTTCTACTGCTCTTTCGGTGATCAAAAGCAAAGCTAAAACAATGGCGATCACTGTATTTGCTTTCATTTCTAGTTCATATGTGCAGGAACTGAAGTAGATGACTGTATGTAGTGTCAAATTTGGGGTCTTTAATGGTAGAACGGTGTTGCATTTTTGAGCTTGCAGCCTGCAAGCCCTCTTGCCTTGAACTTCACAACCCTTAGTGTTTCCCCAGAAATATCTTGGATACTTTGAATCTATGGGAACTAGAAGAAACTCTGATGGTATTTGAATGTGGGTGCATTAATATGGAGTAAATGGTGTACAGAGAAAAGGCTATATATAGATTGATTTTGGACTGGATGCCTTGTTCTAAGTGCCGTAGAAAACAAAAACGAGGAACTCCTAAATGCAATGGTCAGAGATCCTTATATGCAACATTTATTTCTTCGTGCGTGGGGGAGTTTTGAGGGGGGTAAGACTGTGTGGAGCTATTATTCACTTCTTTGGTCAATGTACAGTAAAAATGGTTGCAGAACAGTTTTTAATGAATTTGCATTTAGTGACAACAAATTCTTACCCATTTTATTAATAGAATTTGTCTATCATGTAACATAAGTGTATAAATTAAAAGTATATTAAATATATTTTTTATTATAAATTTATATTAAAAAAATAAAAATTAATCTTTTAATTTATTAATTAATATTAACTTTTACATTTTTTTATGTGCATTTGTGACTTAAAAATGCATTTAATATGCTTTTAACATGTGCTTTAAATTAAAAAAATTCTTTTTAACAAGGTTAAAAAAATCTTTTTTTAATAGGATTTGTTTAACATAGATTCTAAAGGTACAGGTTAAAAAGATATTAAATATATTTTTTCATCATAAATTTATATTAAAACAATAAAAATTAAT